CAGGTGCCACCCAGAGGTTTGGTGTAGTTATGACGGCGCTCGATGTCGTATTTATGCAGGTTGATGTAAACGAAAACTCTATGGAAAAAATAATTCTCTAATCCATTTTGGAAAATGGATTAGGGAAATATTTGTTTCTCAACATACCGGCTCTGTGTAAACATCGCCTGAGAATGAGATGAGCTTGGATTTGTCTCTGTCCCCGGCGACACAGGTTCAGTTGTGATTCTAGTGTATTTGAGTTTTGAATGTTGGAGTTCAGCTGCACACTTTTGTTTCACAGAAGAGACTTCACATCTCGCTGATGGATGAGATCTTTAAGCTGCTCTCCGTCTCTGTCCTCCCCGTTTCACTTAAGTTCTTCAGTTCTGAAAATAGACTTTCCCCACACACAGATTTACGGGAATTCACTCTTGTTTCTTCCAACTACATGGTCCCTGGTTCAATTCCCATCAGACTCTGTGGACTTTGCATGTTCTCCCTGCGTTTGGAGTTTCCTCTGGTTTTCCCCATCCAAATATTCCTGACCCGGATCACCGCCGAGGCCTGGTCCGGAATGAGGCTGTGTTCTTTGGAAAATAGTCCTGGTTTAGTCCTGTGTTAGACCTGGTTTAGTCCAGGGTTAGACCTGGTTTAGTCCAGTGTTAGACCTGGTTTAGTCCAGGGTTAGACCTGGTTTAGTCCAGTTTTAGACCTGGTTTAGTCCAGTTTTAGACCTGGTTTAGTCCAGTTTTAGACCTGGTTTAGTCCAGGGTTAGACCTGGTTTAGTCCAGTTTTAGACCTGGTTTAGTCCTGTGTTAGACTTGGTTTAGCCCAGTGTTCAGTCCACTGTTAAACCTGGTTTAGTCCAGCCTGGTTTAGTCCAGTGTTAGACCTGGTTTAGTCCAGTGTTTTAGACCTGGTTTAGTCCAGCGTTTAGTCCAGTATTAGACCTGGTTTAGTCCAGTGTTTAGTCCAGTGTTAGACCTGGTTTAGTCCAGTGTTAGACCTGGTTTAGTCCACTGTTAGACCTGGTGTAGTCCTGTGTAGGCCTGGTTTAGTCATGTGTTAGACCTGGTTTAGTCTTGGTTAAGACTATTTAAGTCTTGGTTTAATCCTTTTTTAAATCCAGTTTAGTCACAGTTGCATAATAGTCCAGGTTAAATCCTAGATTAGTCCTAGACTCAAACTGGGCTCAAACTCTGACAGTGTAAACGCACTTTTAGTTGAATCATAGTTTAGTCCTGATGAAGTTCTAGTTTGTTTAGAAGAGACACCAGAAGAACCTTTCACTTAATAACTCTTGTGTCACTTGATCAGATTCAAGAACATTGAAAAAAGTGAAGTGACAGAGACGTGTGTGTGTTTGTATTTTTCTTGCAAATGGTTTTATAATGTATATTTTGTGATTTGAGTGTTTTTGTTTTTTTTTATATATTGATTGTGTTGCTGTTAACTTGGCCAAGTCTCTGTTGAAAAAGAAAATCTGAAAAGTAAAGTTTCCCGCTAAATTCTAATCTAGAGACCTGCCCCTTTGAGCTCGGCCCGGTCACTTGAGCGGGCGGTCGTGTTTAGGCTCCGAGGCCTGAGCCCAAAAGTTCTTGTCCCTGAATTATAAATTAGCTTTTAGACGCTGGCAACCCAGGTCCTATTGTCCCATTGTTTAAAACTGTAAGAGCTCAGGCCACAAGCAGCTCCTTTAAATAAACTGAACAATGTTTTAGCGTAAACAGTCAGAGCTGTTGAGTCCTGAAGTATCTGAACGCAAACACACAGATCCAGACTTAATCCCGTGACATTTTCAGATCAAACTTCGGTTTTCTGTTGTTGTTCTCTCCTCACACGTTCGAGGTGAAACAAAACCTCTCTGTCCCGGTGCCCACGTGAGTCCTGTTTACAGTCAACACGGAGCTATTACGCATTAGAGGCTGTTTTTGACTTACTTCAAGTCGTTTCCAATACAAACATTTTGCATAAGCTGCTCCAAATACACAAAACTGACTCTAATGGCTTTAAGTCATGATATAATGTTGTTATCTCATCAAAAACAGACCCGGAGTTGTGTTTTGTTTCTTTTACACGTGTTTGAGTAACTTTTTATTATTAGTCTGTCTACATCTCAAGCTCAGAATGCTCTGTTCCACCTTGTGATGTCATGAAGTGGTAGTTTTCAGTCTCTACTAAACTGAGACTACATTTACACTGAAACAAATCCACGTATCGCCGTATCGGACAGGATCTGTGTCGTTTCTGTGTCCGCAAGTCTTCCCTATCCACACAGCTTTGAGCATATTTGTTTAAGGTTTACAGAAACAAAACTCAAAACCTCTTGGCTAATACATGCGTCACGGATTTTGGATTTCCGGTTATTGCGCAATGCATACTGGGAAGGATCCTCCGAAAAATTGACCGTCAAGCCGCCATGTTTGTTTTCCCAGTGGGATATTGTCAAAGTCGATCTTGAACCATATCGCTTTTGTTTCTAGTTCTGATATTGTCATATTTTAGTTTAGGGATTCGAACGTCGTAATTGTGTGGTTGTTAGATCCTAACAGCGGAAAACGGCTCGAGAAATTTGTTTGTGAACTTCATAAATGCAAAATGGAATCAGATGTGTGTGACTGCAAACCTCCGTTCAAACTGTTTCCCTTCACAACGGAATTGAAAAATAGTGAAAGGTGAAGGCGATGGGCAGGATTGATCCACAGGAAGAACCAAAAAGGAAACCTTTGACTGCTTAAGAAATCATCTCGAGTTTGCAGTGAACATTTTGTATGTGGAGCTCCATTTAAAAACGCAGTTTAAAAACACAGTGGAGCACTTCCTGTATTACCATATGACATCATAAGGTGGAACAGAGTGTTTTCTGTTTGAGAGAAGCCTAAATACACAGGGTTTGTGTGTTAAACATGTGTGAAAGAAACAAAACACAACTCCAGGTCTGTTTGTGTTGAGGAAACATTAGAACAGAGATCAGAAGATAGTGGAAATTGGACTTTTTAACTCTTCTTTTCAGGTGAGTGGAGCCATGTGGCCAAAGGGAGGATGTGCATGATAGTCAATGGTATTTTTAAATTGGGGTGCGCTGTTTCTAGCCCTCTGGAATGGAAAAACGTCTTGGTAAAGTTGGATCTTTAGCGTGGTTGAGTCAGGTTTGTGGAGAGGCAAGCCCACTCATAGTAAGGACGCATGTTTTTCCAGTGCCATAAACAAAAAAAACAAAACGGAAAAATTATGTATTAATTATTTTTGGCTGAAAAGTCCCGTACTGTGGATATAAAGAACTAACTGTGGATCCTGTTCCTCTTCATGATTAAAAAACTTCTGTAGGTTCCAAAGAAATGAGCTCAGACGAACTGAACGGGAAACAGAAACGTCAACACGGTTAAATAAACTCATTTACTTTCTACTGTTACTGCTACTACTACTGCTACTAGCCTACTACTAGTACTACTACTGCTGCTACTACTACTAGTACTATTATTGCTGCTTCTACTACTACTATTAGCCTACTGCTACTACTACGACTACTACTACTACTACTACTACTACTATTACTACTATTACTGCTACTACTATAAGTGCCTTGTGTTGCTTTTTTTTTGTATGAAAAGCACTCTATAAATAAAGTTTGTTTGATTGATTCATAATATTACTGCTACTAGCCTATTTACTACTAATAGTACTATTACTGCTGCTGCTACTGCTACTACAACTGATATTCTACTACTACTACTATTACTTATATTAATAGTTTACAACTTACTACTACTACTATAACTGCTGTTGCTACTACTACTAATAGACTACTACTTACTACTACTACTTACTACTGGCACTATTACTGCTGCTGCTACTTCTACTTATAGTCCACTACTTATTACTACTACTTCTACTACTACTATTACTACTGCTACTACTACTTATGGACTACTACTACTACTGATATTCCACTACTTATTACTGCTACTACTACTACTACTACTACTACTACTTACTACTACTACTACTACTACTACTACTACTGCTACTACTACTACTACTACTACCATTACTACCACTACTACCAGTATTACTACTACCACTACTACTACTACTACTACTAATACTGCTACTACTACTACCACTACTGCTACTATTACCACCACTACTAACACTACTACTACTATTGCTACTACTACTACTTCCTACTACTACATTACTACCACTACTACCACTATTACTACCACCACTACTACTACTACTACTAGTGGTACTGCTACTACCACTACTGCTACTACTACTTATAGCCTACTATTACTACTACTACTACTACTATTGCTACTACTACTACTACTCCTACTACCATTACTACCACTACTACCAGTATTACTACTACCACTACTACTACTACTACTACTACTACTGCTACTACTGCTACTACCACTACTGCTACTACTACTACTACTACTACTACTACTACTACCACTACTGCTACTATTACCACCACTACTAACACTACTACTACTATTGCTACTACTACTACTCCTACTACCATTACTACCACTACTACCAGTATTACTACCACCACTACTACTACTACTACTAGTGGTACTGCTACTACCACTACTGCTACTACTACTTATAGCCTACTATTTACTACTACTACTACTACTACTACTACTACTACTACTACTACTACTACTACTACTACTACTACCATCATCACTACTACTACTACTTCTTTTGTTCTACTACTACTAGTGCTACTATTGCTGGTGCATCTGTTATTATTACTACTTCTACTACTGCTGTTGCAATTAAATACTTTTAATTTACTTTTTACTACTTTTAACTGAGTGCTGCATATATTTATACTTTATTCTAGTTATTTAGTTCTTAAACGCCTGAGTTTTTTAATCGCAGTGACCTTCAAAAACCTTAACATTTATATCTGTGCTGTAATTTCCATGCCTTTAAAATATGGAAAACTTCATTCATATTTCCTCGGCCCAGAGTTTGTTTTGTTTTTATTTTTAGCCCGAGCTGGAAAATTATGGAAAACAGCTCGGCTCATGAGACGGTGACAGTTCGGCAGAAGATGAGTCTGCAGCAAAACCTCCCCGTGTGTGTGCGTCACCACCAGCACGCACACACACACTGGAGTCACACCGGCCAATCAGCACGCAGCTCTGACTCTAAACCCCGCCCCCTCTGGCTTTATAAGGACGACAGAGGACACACTGACACACAGAGACTTTTGAAAACCATGAGAGAAGTGGGTTTGGACTCTAACACGATGGCACTTACCCAACACATGGCAGAGTTTAACACAGAGAAGAAGAACATTAGGTAAGCGCGAAAGTGTAATTTTATATTTTTTATTTAGTTTTTTTAAAGATGTTGCAATGATAGTCGAAAGCAGCTTGCAATTTTGCGCAATTGCACTTCAAATTTGGTCATTTCGGACACAGTTTTTGAATGAAATACACCTGCACAGAAGTTAATTTTACTTGTCAAATTAAAATGTTTTAGTGTTTTGCAATTTTGTGAATGTTTAATAGTGCTTTTAAGGAGTATTGGCAGACAAACTGGGTGATCTTGGGAATTATTTTCCGTTGATTTCAATTTTCTATCTAGTTTAATCGTTTCTAAACACCAGTGCATGTGGATTTTCAAAATAAACTTCAGCTGAAACACACACAAACAAATTTCAGTACAATTTAATAGAAAATTTGATACAAAATTCACAAATCTATCACATGCAGTTTTTTTATTTATTTAAACTGACTAAAACTGACTAAGGACTTCGCAAAAAGCTGCAGGGTTTTTCGTTGATTTCAATTTTCTATCCAGTTTAATCGTTTCGAAACACCAGTGCATGTGGATTTTCAAAATAAACTTCAATTTCAACACAATTTTACAGAAAGTTTGATACAAAATTTACAAATCTATCACGTTTAGTCCGTTTAGTCCAACTTTTTTATTTAAACAGACTTCTCAAAAAGCTGCAGGCTGATCATTGACTATTTTAATTGATTAAAACACAGTGAAATTAAAATGTTTTTGTATGTTTTGTAATTTGTAAACAGTGTTTTGTAATTTTGTGAAGGTTTAATAGTACTTTTAAGGAATATGTGCAGACAAACTGGTCAAAACTAATTCTTAACCTCATCTTTCTATCCAGTTTAATCATTTCTAAATAAGTGCATGTGGATTTTCAAAATAAACTTCAGCTGAAACCAAAATAATAATAATTTCAACACAATTTTACAGAAAATTTGATACAAAATTTGCAAATCGATCACGTTTTAGTCAATTTTTTAAATTTAAACAGACTAACTAAGGACTTCTGCAGGCTGATCATTGACTATTTGAAATTATTAAAACACAATGCAATTAAAATGTTAATATTGCACAGCCCAAAAATGAAAATTTTGAGACGCTTAAATGACAAAATGCATATCTACAGTCTGCATGGTGTTGTAGTGTTTGAATATTTAGTTTTAATCATAGAACTTTGAGCAAAATTTGGAAAAGTACATATAAAAATACATTCCATTAGTGACAAAAGCATTTCCGTGTGGTTCTACTGTTACATCCTTTTTAAGTAAATATTTAACTAACTAAATAAATCGAACAAGAGAGGTAGTTCTTTGAAACTTTGAAAGGCTCACTCTGCAAAGTGCTCACACCTCTCAGACGTCATCGGCCTGTGCAGTCGTCTGTGAACCATTGTTTTCGAACGTGTACAGAGTTCTGCTTTTATAAGGCGACTTACATCACCAAACAAAGCAGCATTTAAAGAACAAAAGACCAGGATTATTTGTCTGTCTTCAATGACGGATGCGTGACAGTCTAACCAAGTTTTATTGACGTTTCAGGAGGAAAAGTTGGAAAAACCGGATCACGTTACTACTGAAGAAAAACACACATCTGATGAAAAACAAACCCTACAGGTAAATATGTTTGATTAGTTTATATTTTTAAGTGTTTATTATTTATTATTATTATTATTATTATTATTATTATTATTATTATTATTATTAATTTTTTTTTTCAATTATTTTTACTATAATTTTTGGCTTTTTTTTTTTTTTTTTTTTTTTTTTTTTTTTTTAAAGCAAAATTATCTGTTTTAGGAGCAAGATTTTTATTTTTATTTTTTATTTATTATTGAAACTATATTTGGAATAAACTATAGACACATGAAGCCGGGTTATGTTTTTATCAACTTTAACAAATCGAAAAAAAAAAAATAAAAATCAAGATTAACATTTCGAAATTTGAATTATAATTTGCAGATTTTTTTAAAAACAGACTGACTAAAGACTTCTCAAAAACTTGCCGGCTGATCATTGACTATTTGAAATTATTAAAACGTGAAAAGTGAAATTCAAATTTTAATATTGCACAGCCCAAAAATTTAAATTTAGATTGACTGATTGATAGAGTTAAAACTACAAGAATGTATTTGTTGTTTGAATAATTTTATCTAAATAAGTTGTATTTCAGTTTTAGAAGTTTTTATTTCTTTTTTTCTTTTTTTGTCACTTATTTTTACAATATTTTTTGGCTAGTTTAAATTTTTTTAATTATTCTTAACCAAAATTATCTGTTTTTGGAGTAAAATTTTCAGATTTTTTGTTCGCCACAGTTTACACAATTGAAACTACAATTGCATTAAACTATAGACACATGAACCCAAGTTATATTTTTAATACAATTTAACAAATCTACAGATTAACATTTTGAATTTAAATTATAATTTGCATTTTAAGACTGGCGCACACTAAACATCTTTAAGCCGTCACCACATCATAACAAACTTTCCTAATCAGTTCAAACGTCCTTTTCAAATTGGTTTCTCTGGTCTAATTATAATGTCTCTTTTGTCCATTGTGCCTTTAGGCCAAGCACTGACGACCTGCAGCACTGGGGCCAGTCACTTGACCACCTCCTCTCTCATAAATGTAAGAACCCTCAACCTCTTTTCACCTCTTTTCACCCCGTTCACGTCCGTGCGACCAATCAGAACAGCCGGACGTGTTTCTATGCAAACAAAGGAAGTGCTGTTAATTAACGTTAAACAATAAATTGTCTTCACCTTCGAGACTTTGGTGACGTCAGGGTTTCAGATGGAAGGTCTATGAGAGATTTACTTATTTGTTTTTGAAAGAAACATCCAAAATAGAAATGTCCAAAACCAAAACAGATAACAGATAATGATTCTGGGGCCAGTCCTGGTCTCAGTCCCGGTCTGGGCCCAGTCTCAGTCCCGGTCTAGGTCCTGGTCTCAGTCCCAGTCTGGTCCCGGGCTCAGTCCTGATGACCTGACTGTTTTAGTCCTGGTTCAGTCCTGGTTCAGTCCGGCATCAGTCCTGGTTCAGTCCGGCATCACAGTTTAAGTCACAGAAACAGGAAATGGTCATCAATTTTTTTCCATTATTCATATATAAACACAAAATCGAAAAAAGGAAAAAAAAAATCATTATCCATTTTTAAATTTTGATTTTGGAGTCAAATAATGAAGAAAACAGTTGTTTTTTCGTTTTCTTATTTTTGGTTTTATTATGAAAAGCAAATGAACGAACGATACATGGATTTTTGTGGATTTCCAGTTGATTTCTTTCAATTTTCTTTCCAATTTAACCATTTCTAAACAAGTGCATGTGGATTTTCAAAATAAACTTCAGCTGAAACAAACAAACAAAAAAAAGAATTCAACACAACTTAATAGAAAAACAACAACAACAAATCTATCACATTTAGTCTTTTTAGTCTTTCAAAGTCAATTTTATTATTATTTTTTATTTATTTAAACAGACTGACAAAGGACTTCTCAAAAAGCTGCAGGCTGATCATTGACTATTTGAAATTATAAAATAAAATAAAATAAATGAGACAGTTGCGGATTTCCAGAACACCACAAACACAACTTATGAAGTACAAATAGTATAAAAACTCTGCGTGTAAAATCTAATCTAATCTAGTCTTGCATTTGCGTTTTCCAGACGGCAAAGCTGCGTTTTTCATCTTCATGAAGTCGGAGTTCTGCGAGGAGAACATCGAGTTTTGGTCCAAGTGTGAGGAGTACCAGGCCCTGAGCTCCATGAAGCACCTGAAGGCACGAGCCAACAGCATCTACGAGGAGTACGTGTGCTGCGAGGCGCCCAAAGAGGTGAGGGACGCATCCAAAATGTCTCAACACGTCTGAAGAATTTAACAGGGGGAGTGTGAATCAAAACGTGACCTGTTACTTCACGTGATCCTGTTGCACAAGTGTGTACGTAGTATGTGGTAATAGTTGCAGTAGCGGTTCCAGTAACAGTAGTAAAGGTAGTAATAGTCATAGTAGTAATCTCACAGTACTTTATGTTCACAGAATGAACCTCACGTATTTATTGCGATAGTGCAGGAAAGCTCACAACAGGTGGGGACTTGCAAGGCGTGACTTGGGCTCGAGTCAGACTTGAGTCACTATTTTTAGGACTTGAGACTTGACTTGATAAAACTGACAAAGACTTTTTGGGAATCTTGGGAGTTGAGTTTAGTTTTAGATATTTAAATCTGCTCAGTGTTAATGTGTGACAAATTTGCATGCATCTGTCTGCTGCTATCAAATACAACCACAAGAAAATATATTTATTATATTTTTATTATTATTATTATTATTATTATTATTATTATTATTATTATTATTATTATTATTATTATTATTATTATATTTTTATTAATTCATTTTTCTATTATTTTTACTATATTTTTTGGCTAGTTTAATTGGGATTAATTTGGGACTTGACTTGGACTTGAAGGTCAGTGACTTGGGACTTGACTCGGACTTGAGGCCTGTGACCTGAGAAGGACTTTTAAATCTGAATTCTTTTTATTCTGACCAAAATGATTCACACAATGATCTTGTCAAGACATTTAAAAAGGAAAAATTAACTAAATTAATTTCTACAAATTTTATATAAATATAAATACTGTTTTTTTTTAAGTACAATTTAGTTTAAAAGTCGTATAAATTGCAAAAATCTAAGCTATATTTGGTATTTAGGTTTAAAGACTTGAAATGACCTGAAGCTCAAAGCAGACGACTTGGACTTGACTTGGACTTATGAGCCAGTGACTCGAGACTCGACTTGGACTTGCCTGTATGTGACTTGGGACTTGACTCGGACTTGAGGTGACCAAAAGAAGTCTTACCCCTCTCTACTCTTATTAGATTAGCAAATAGATTTTAGATTTTGTATATATATATTTTTTTTTCAAATATTTGGATACATAGCACCTCCAGTAAAATTAAAAATACTCCAAATTACCAATACAACAGGTTAAAATTACAATTACAACAGGTAGATATTGGCAAATTCAAACTGGCAACACCTGCAAATTAGAAAAATAAAAAATAAAGCATTGCCATACCTGGAAAAATCTATCTAAATGTCCAATTAATGTATATTTAAGAAGGATATTTGTCAGATTTCCAATATAATAGCAATATATATCTTGCAATTAGAGAAGTAGATGTTGTATTTTTAAACTAAAATGCATTTGGTTCCTTCTCCTCCTCAGATAAACCTGGACTACCAGACCAGAAACGCCATCACGGCCGGCCTGGACAACCCCGGCCCCACGCTCTTCCTCCAGGCCCAGTGGAAAGTCTACAGCCTGATGGAGAACAACGCCTACCCGCGCTTTCTCCAGTCCGACTTTTACAGAGACTTGTGCTCCACGGCGACGGGAGAGCCCAAACGCATCAAGGCCGAGTCCAAGTCCAGGACCTTGCCCAAGAACTGGACCGTGACGAAGTCCAAGAACTAGGACTGACACCAGGCACGTTTGTTTACTGGAGCGGGCTTGATGACCACGGGACTTTGCGCCTCGAGAGTAAACTTGAGTCGGTGTTGCACGGATCTTGCCTGAAGCGCGAGGGAAGTCTCAGCGCAGACGAGAGCTTTGGCGGAGTTTGGTTTAGATCGTGTCCTCTGCGTTTGACCCGTCCTCGTCCCGTCCCCGGTGTGACCTGCCTGGAGCAGAGAACAACAGCGCATCCGGTGGACTTTCTCCGTCGAAAATGGAGCATCAAGTCTCGCTGTTTTATGAGTTGAGTTCAGAATCTGAAACTGCACTTGAGTAGTTTTGACTTGTCAGATTAAGTCGCGTAAGTGCACGGAATATTTCACTGGTTTGAAGACATTTCTGAAAACTGATTTACAAACTGGGTAACCACAATTGTTTTACCCCATCGTTTAGTATTCTCCCAAATCTGAACGAGTCAAAACTACTGAAATCAGGATCAATATGGCCACAACAGAAAAACAAATCTGTAAACTATCTACTGTATTTTTCGGACTGTAAGTCGCACCAGCCAAAAAATGCGTAATGAAGAAATAAAAAAGCAAATATAAGTCGCACTTTTTGGGGGAAATTTGTTTTATACTGAAAGTCAATTTCTAGTAAAAACAATAGAACAGAGAACAACAGACTGTTAACGTCACATATGAACAGTTCTTCAGATAAACTATAACATAAACCATAGAACAGAACAAGTTTAACAAACTCTCCATCTCACTCCAAATCACTAAATCCATTCAATTCTTCATCCTCGGTGTCACTTCTGAACAACTCCTCGACCTCCAGAGGTAAACAGAGCGACGCTTCCTCTTCTGTGTCGCTGTCGTCAGACTCAGCGTCAGTTCCAGTTAGAATTATTCCGGCCTTTCTGAATCCCGACAGGATGGTTTCACTGTCACTGAAATCACTTAAATGTTAAATTGTTCAGTGGTACAGAAGTAATGGTGCGATCGACTGACGTGATACAGACAGGACAGAGGCTCTTTCTGTAGCAGACATGCGCAGTAGAGCCAAGTGACACTGGTACAGGAAGAACAAGAGCAGTAGATTCACACACATATGACTAGAGCCTCTCGCGTCTGTCAGTGTGAAAATGTTAATATATAAGTTGCACCAGAGTATAAGTCGCAGGAAACATGCCATACAAACCATGAAAAAAGTGTGACTAGTCCAAAAAAATTTGGTAAATAAATAAACAAGTCCATCAAAAACATAAAAATTACTAAAATTTGCAAACAGAAAAATAGCTAATAAGACAGTCCTCTTCTGTGTCGCTGTCGTCAGACTCAGCGTCAGTTCCAGTTAGAATTATTCCGGACTTTCTGAATCCCGACAGGATGGTTTCGGTGTCACTGAAGTCCAGACTTTGTCGATTCATCCAGCGACTTCAGGAAAGTTTCATGGTGCATCCTCTCTGCGTTCTCCATCCTCGCCTTTCGCCAGTCCCTCACAAGTTTCTCGCTCACTCCAAACTTTTTTTCTGCTGCTCGATTACAGTTTTCGGCTGCATATTTCGCCACTTGCAGCAGGACAGAGGCTCTTTCTGCAGCAGACATGCGCAGTAGAGCGAAGTGACAGTGGTAAAGGAGTAGCAGATACTAACACACAAGCCTAGTCAGTCCAATAAGATTCATTTGGTCTTCCGATATTTTATGTTATCAGGTTCTTTTTACAGACCAAGAGTTTGTTTTCTGTCAAGTATGAAAACAAACTCTCACAGGAAACACCCAAACCATGAAAAAAAGTGCGTCTTATAGTCCGAAAAATATGAATTCAGATCAAATTTACAGATTTGTACTAAAAAAAAACATCTTTCTTACCATTTTCAAGACGTCTGAACCGTATTTGTAATTTAAATATTTATTGTTGAATTTTCTTTTGCAACATTTTGTACACAGCCTTTTGCTATTCAACGACACTGTCCATTTTTTTTGTGCCCGTGAGCCGACCACCGATAGCGAGTGAATGTATTTAACTTCACCTTTGTATGAGTGTGTTTTGGTTTTGGACAAGCGCGCGGTTGTTTTGTATGGACATGTTTGTAGTGTAAATATGCACATGAAAAGACACTGTTTACTGAAAGTACACTGTATGTGTATGTGAGTGACTGAGGCAGCCGGACTGCACGCAATAAAATGAACTGAAGTGAAATATTAAAGCTCGTGTCCAGTGAATTTATTTAGAAGTTCAAATTTGGTCTTATTATTGTTAGATGTCAGACAGTAGAAGTGTTATTTATATCTCAACGGGGCCGTATTATGTAATTTTCTGATCTATGTTATGCTATTTTTTGCTCACCACAAACGTCTCGAGTTGTGTTTAGTTTCATTCACACATGTTTAACTCACGAGGATGAGTTCTTCTTCTCTCAAACACTATTTACATTTACGAAGTCATGAGGTAATGCAGGAAGGGCTCCATTCACTAGACACAATTAGACGATTTCAGGAATTGTCAATCTCTACTTCAAAATTTCCCAGTTAAAAAGTTTGTTAGGTTCAGTAACAATTATTAAGGTTTTGCGTGTACGTCACAAAACCACGTGACCTGGTGTTTATGCCGCCAGATTGGAGGTCAAACTATCCACCTGGACCAACGAGTAGTATTTGTGTGTGATCAAATTTGAATTGAATAACAATAGTTTTGACCTGCGTTGCTTTTGGATGTTCTGCCCGGAGTCAATCTGCTAAAGAAGGAGGTCGAAGCATCTTTCTATCAGATCCTGACAAAGAAGAGAGGGATGGAGCCACTGAGAACAATCGTCTGTGCGTCAACATTTCATTTCTGGTGAGGGACCAGCTCCAAACAAACGAAGAAGGGATTTACCGTAAATTAAATGACAGATACCCAGTGTTGGGGAGTAACAGATTACATGTACCGGAGTTATGTAATCAGAGTACAAATGATGAGTAACTGTATTCAGTTACAGTTACTGTTTCAGTGAGTGGTAATTAGGATTACAGTTACTTTGTTGAAATAAATGGATTACACAGCGGGATTTTTCTTTTTTCACATTATTTTTATTTATTTATTTATTTATTTTTTCGGTAATTCGACTCATTGCTGGAAACTAAACCAGGACTAAAACCAGGACTAAAACCAGGTCTAAACTAGATCTAAACCAGGACTAAAACCAAATCTAAACCAGGACTAAAACCAAGTCTAAACCAGCATTAAACCAGGTCTAAACCAAGACTAAACCAGAACTAAAACCAGGTCTAATCTAGATCTAAACCAGAACTAAAACCAGGTCTAAACTAGATCTAAACCAGGTCTAAACCAGGACTAAAACAGGACTAAAACCAGGTCTAAACCAGGACTAAAACCAAGTCTAAACCAGGTCTAAACTAGATCTAAACCAGGACTAAAACCAGGTCTAAACTAGGAATAAACCAGGACTAAAACAGGATTTTACAGGATTTAACAGAACTAAACCATGCTGCACGGACGTGTCTCCTCCTCTTCTATCTATAATATTTTTAATACGATTAAGTATCCGAGTCTTTGCTTCTCTACAGCAAATCAAGTAATCCAGAGTATTCAGATTACATTACTCACTTAAAGTAATTCAATAGATTATGTTACAAACTACATTTTGGGGTGTGTAATCTGTAATCTGTAGGGGAATACATTTTAAAAGTCACCTTCCCAACACTGTAGATACCAAAAGTATTTTTTTTCTCGTAGGTATGAAGAATAATAACCCACTTTCACCAGATTATTCCCCATCATTATTCACGTACAGCCCATCACCAGTGAAAGACAAAGCAAAACATTCGCTTATTTCCTATGAAAGGAGATCTAACATGAAAAAACAGATACTAAAGGTCGAGCACAGAGCGAGTGTTGATTAAACTAACAAAGCTCCATCGGAATTTGATCGGGATCTATTCCATAACCCAGGAGGACGACTTTAGCTTTATACATTTCTAATGACGGCTGATGTAACGAGCTGGCGATTTCAAACAGTTTTATGTCGTTTGTGCTGTTTAAACTCATCATGATTATACTGTAACTGAATAAAACCATCCAGATCAACCCCAGTCTTGACCTGCAGTATGGCCACCAAAACATTAAATCAGGTGACTGCCACGCCAAACGGCAAATCCTCAGTAGATCAGTTTATTTAGATCAGGCATTTATAGGTAGCTCAGGGGTCCTTGGAAGCACCATGGTAACGCTGTCACTTTGGGACCTCCCATTCATTGAAGGGGTATATGGGCGTCCAGACATGTCATTTCTGTATCCGTTAGATTTGGTTTTAGAGCTCAAAAATTAGATACAGGTGGTTTTAGAGCTCAAAAATACCTTGAAAAACCGTCATTCTGACTGTGAGCGGCGTCGCCTCTCCACAGATCTGACCTTTAGGCCTTTAACTTGGACCCTGTTTACAGTAAAACGAATTTGTGTATCACCGTTATCAGACACGTCGTTTCTGTATCTGCAGTCAAAACGTTCCCTGTCCACACGGTAACACAAAACTGCCTGAAATGCTGGTCACGTGAGCAGTAAAAACAAAGAAGTCTGAAGTTGCAGCAGCTGATTTTGAGCCGAGGAACATGACAAGTATAAAAACACCTTCTTTTAATGGACCACTGGATTTTAAGATGAGCATGGCGGCTCCGAGTGTGGACTGACTCGTTTCTGTGTCCGCAAGTCTTCCCTATCCACACAGATTTGAGCATATTTGTTTACGTTTTACAGAAACAAAACATAAAACCACATGGCTCATTTGCATAACCTAAGCGCTCAGAAAAACAGCTTGATATTGTGTCGCTGATGTGGTTCAGCTTCTGTCGGACTAATGGACACGACTCAGTGGAATATGAGTGTTCTTTCTGTGACACAGGGGTGTTCTGCTGGTGGTGCTGGGCTGGCAACCATTTTGTGTGTTGTGGTCCAAAGCAAGAAAAATATCCGATGAAGGCTTTTTCTTTTTTTTGCTGAAACGTTATTTTGAAAATAAAAAAGCTTTTTTACATCGGCCATCTGACTGTGTTATGCGTTTTTTTCACTTTTGTCTATCTGCTCCTTGCATATGCACGTCTATAAGAATTTTGGTGTGCTTTTTCTGTTTCTTTTGAACGCTGTCGCTGTTACCATGGTGATGAAGTTGAAGACTAACTGCTATAGCTTTAAGCCCCATCCACACTAGTACGTATTTGAGTCGTTTTAATTTTTCGTCCACACTAATCCATTTGAAAACCAGCTCCCACCAATTCATCTGATCCGGCACACATAAACAGACCATAGACAAATGGGAAACAGCGTAGCTAGAACTACTTACTAGTACATGGTCCACGAAAAGAACGTTTTCACACTTGCCGTCTTCCTCGGTTCAAAATCAGCTTCTGCATCTTTAGACATCCGTGAAGATGTGATGCCAGCCTAGTCATGTGACTAGCGTTTCAGGCGGTTTTGGCTTTGATTGTGGACACTGAATATCAGTCTGGTCTGGCCTCTGTTGCATCTCAAGAAAGGCTCAAACACGGCCGCCCAATCAAATTTGTTTATTTCAGTGAATCCTGTGAAATGAAGACGCTTAGACTACGTTCAGACTGCAGGGCTTAACGCTCAATTCAGATTTTTTTGTGAAATCCGATGTTTTTTCGAGGTCGTTCACATTTCCAATTAAATGTGACTTGTATGTGACTCCAGTATGAACAGTAAATGGCCCGAAAGTGTCCCGCATGTGCACTGGAGACACGACGACGTCAACCGCAGCGAGCGTGCTCTGTGTTTACGGAAGTTGTCCAAACATGGACGCAGCATCGAGCACCTGGAGATTTTAATGTTCCTCTCGTACCGGAGCCAGAACATGAACAACTTACTTGTTTTAAGGAGGAGATTGAGAAGGAGAAGGACGAGGTTTTTGGTCGTGGTGTTTTGTGGGGCAGCGGCAGCGACGTCCGTTGAAAGGAACGTGTGGATGTGGAGACGGAGCCAAGAGTGGTGAGTGGTGATGTGCTTCACTTCAGTGACACGGAGTTCGTTAACAATTTTCTCCTACTTCAGCGCAGAATAGTGACGTTTGTGGCTTGTTGATAACGTGTAGGTGGATTTGGTCCGTTCAGACTGAAGTCACATGTCAAAAGATCAGATATGTATCGGTTTCAGGAGCACATATCCAAGTGTCCTGGGTCGCATTTGACTGTCATTAAAAGATCAGATACAGGAACATAGAGGCCAAAAAAATCGGATTTGGGTCACTTCAGGCTGCAGTCTGAACGCAGCCCTAGTCACTGATCATTTACAGATAAAAAAATCACATTTCTCTCACCTCAGATGAACAATTTAGTGCTTCACTCTGAATCTTTAGAAATATGTCTTCCTGTTCAGTCTCCTGTGGTATTTTTTTTCCTTTTCTTTTTTCCTCATAAGCAGCCACATTTGTTTTAATACAGGCGGTACATATATGCCCCTGATTGGCTAATCCACCTGTCAATCATGCCTATCTGAACTCGAGGAGCTTCACCGATCACCAAACTCACATCTCTGTAAAGTATTAGAGAAGTATGTATTATGAATTGGATCACAGGCAAAAGTTGTAAAAAAAATACCAATGTAAAAGTGTCTAAAAAGTCTATTTAAAAACAACATGGAAACTTCAACTGGAGAGTCGTCTATTTTAGTCCAGCTGTGCATCGTCCTGTCCCCCCAGCATCGCTCATAAAGAACATAGTTTAGGTTTAACGTAGACAAATGCACTGAACGTACACAGCTGTGAGTCCGTGTTTCCACCGGCCCTCTCGAAAAGGTCTCACACTAAAACACTTGACTTTTGCAGTACATTGAGACATATCGCTGTACTTTTAAGTTTACACAATATTTGAAGTTACTGGGAACACGTTATTCCAGTTAAACAGCGGTGGGTCAGACGATGAGTGGAACGGTGTGGTCATCAGAAGGGTTTAAACATGGTGAAATTGGAAGTTGTCTCCTTAGAATTAGAAAGTTCTGTCTAACATTTTGGTCCAAATTTAGTTATTCATATATTTTTGTTCCTGGGTGTCTACGGTACACTATATCCAAATTTCAGTTCGGTGTTAAACTTTTATGAGCAAAAACAGGTTTTATCAGGTTGAGCCAATCAGAACACAGAATACACAGCCAACTGCTTAGGAATGTTGTTGTTCATCCTTGCTCTGTTACAAAAAA